TGCTTGTCATTAATTAGGTACAGAATACATTTATTTTATTTTTTAAAAAATTTATTAACCCACTTATGATCTTCTTTTTTTTTAATTCAACATAAAGCTAAAATTGTCAGAAACTCGGCCAGTGTCAATAACTGGGTCTTTTACCTTACATCGCTTACAATTCAATTACAAAATTTAGACAAATGCGAACCACATCACCACCCGTTCATTAACAAATTCGATGAAAAATTATCGAAATAACCCATCCGACGATATTGAAGATAGTTACATTTTCCATGTATCGCGAAAAATGCCAATTTTGTTGCCACACTTTTTAATAACGCTAGTACAAGAATGCCGTAGGAAGCTGCGGTATTTCTGGTTGTAATAATACAGAAGCAGATAGATAAGATAACCATATTCAAGTGCAGAGAAATCGCTTTATGTACTAGAAACTTACTTGAGATTTTGACAACATGATGACAGTTGAGTTTTCAAGTTTCAAGATGGAGTTTAAACGAACTAGAACTACACTTCATAAGGCATGAACTTCTTCAGACTTTGATGCATATTATCATGAGTCAATAATTTAGAATCCTCGTTCCTACAATTTCGCTATAAAACCTTTAAAAAGGTAAACATCCAACAAATATACCAATTACATACATGCCCTACGTTAAAATAATAATATAAAAATTAAAAAAGAAAAAGCAAACTGAATCGCTTTCTGGAGTCAACTTTAATAACTCAATCTGAGTGTAAATTGTACAATCGTGGTAGCGCGAAAGCAAATTAAACCCTTATCTTATTCCACACCCTGCCTGAGAGTCATTATAAAAAGACAAGTCGACCACGTTTCTTGTAAATGTGCGAACAAAGATTATATCGCAACTAGGGTAAGAATTTGAGTTTTTGAGTCCCTTGCATATACTTAGGCCCCAAAGACACGTAATTTTTGCAATTGAACGTCAACGCTCAATTCGACCATTTCGATTTGTTTATTATAAAATGAAAAAGGTGTAAGATTCTATAAACCCTAATTGGTTTTGAATTCCAGCATTGCTATAATTAATCTGATAAATGAATGCATCATACCTTCCGATAATTGTACGGGCGCATTTTCCCAAGCAGAGAATCTTCGTTTTTTCGTCAACATCTTCGAGGCTGATTCTTCAGACATCTGAAACAAGAAACAATTATATATACAAAGATCGTTACATTAATAGTACAATGTCTACTTTAGAACAGTAGTTACACTTTTAAATTCGAAAAACGTTTCCTATCAATTAACAAGCAATGAATTCGAATGATTCTTTAATTAAATTCTTCTTTCTTTAAGCATTTAACCAACGTGAAATTACACTTAAAACTTACGAACAATAAACAGCTTTGAATAAATTCATTAGATTATTACTTTATGTAACTAGCGATCTATTATCTAACTGTAAAGGTGATTGTGGGGAGTTTCTAAATTTAAAAACTAAGAAACACTAAGCGGAGCACTACACAAAAGACAAAATTCTTGTGCTTCACAGTAACATTAAGGTGCTGTATGCATGGGGTTTGTTTCTAAAAAACAAAATTATTTGTGCTTTATTTACGTGGTTACGAATTACTAAGAAGTATACGAACAGATGTATGAAAAACTAGTAAACAGCGTCTGTAAGCGTGGCGGTAATCACGCAGTTGAGAAACAAAAAGAGCGAAATTAATGACAGAAAAGGAAGGATAAAAGTAGGGTAACATCGGTCGGTAAAGGACGGTGCTGGTTTATCAATTCATTGTAACAAAAACATCAAAACAACCACATGGAGTAGCAGAAACTTCTTGCACAAGGGCCTATATTCTAACAGCTGTTAGCGCCTTGTAAAGCATTTTTTTGCCCAAGTTCAAGTGCTCTCTTCGCTAATGTGAGTAATGTGGCGGCGTCGATTCTGTGCCGACGTCGTTAAGAGTGTCGCGGAGCAGAGCGTCGATAGGTGGAAAGGCCGTTATACACGTTGCGCTCCTAACGCCACCAACCTGGGTAATGAAGTCTTTTGTGTATATGTCCAATTTCCCAGCGTCGATACATATATTCTTAGAGCGATCTTGCTGAATAGTGCTATAAAAGGGGCACTATCGGGGCACTCGTCCACGACAAAAACAATCTGCAACTTATCTCCCAGATGCAACCACTCATAGTCGGCATATAAAATCTTCAATTAACCTCACAGAATAAATCGCTCCAATCTATAGGGTTGTTCGGAAAGTCATATCGTTTCTTCCCGATAGAGGATTTCATTGTATTCTTTTGCACCCAACTTCACATTTAAGCCGTGTAATTTTTATATGCCTTGAGAGCTCATATAGCAAGGCTTGTGTGTGAAACATTCCAATTAATTCTACGCAGTAGTTTTTGGTTGGTGCCCTTTTAAATATGGAGAGCGATAAGCAGCATTTTCGACATATCTTACTGTTTTACTACAGAAAGGGTAAAAATGCTGTTCAAGTCAGAAAGAAATTGACTGATGTGTATGGAGAAGGTGTGTTGACAGTACGCCAGTGCCAGAACTGGTTCGCTAAATTTCGATCCGGCAATTTTGATGTCGAAGATGCACCACGTTCGGGAAGGCCGGTTGAAGCTGATAAAGACGCGATAAAGGCATTAGTTGATGTGAACCGACGAATAATAACACGTGAGATCAGATTGAGGTTAAATGTATCAAATTCAACAGTTTATGACCACTTGAAAGGCCTGGGATTATCCTCGAAGCTCGATGTATGGGTTCCCCATGTTCTCACAGAGAGAAATCTGTGTCGCCGCATTGACGTCTGCGATTCGCTTCTCAAACGTCACGAAAATGATCCGTTTTTGAAGCGCATCATCACTGGGGACGAAAAATGGGTTGTATACAACACCGTCAAACGCAAGAGGTCATGGAGCAAAAAAGATGAACCGGCTCAAACCATTTCCAAAGCCGATATTCACCAAAAAAAGGTGATGCTGTCTGTTTGGTGGGATTTTAAAGGAATCGTTTTTTTTTTTAGCTTTTACCGGATAACACAACGATTAATTCAGAAGTCTACTGTCATCAGCTGGACAAACTGAATGATGCACTTCAACAGAAAACAAATATAAGGGTAACTAAAAACATGAACCTTATTATTATCTTTTTCTTAGCTAAGAATAGTAGTACGACACAGGGAATGACAGAAACGATGAGAAAAGATGAACACGGATAAATCGATGATAATGAGAGGCAAAAAAGGCGGTGAAAGAACGAAATCCTTGTCTAAGGGGTTGTGTAAACCCCTAGACAAGGATCGCAGTTTCGACTTTGGTTCCCATCAATACGCCATACATTCTCTAGCAACCAATCGAAATTTAATCTTTTTCTATCTGGTTTTCCTCAAGTTTAAGGAAATATTTGGAAAATGGAAGGCTAAAATTTCTATGCAAGTGAATTGATTAAAAGATGGCTTTAACTCAACAGAATGATGACTACATTACTGAAGAGTCCCTAGCTATTCGTTTCGCAAATGACACTCGTTATCTTTATGAGAAAAGCCCGGAATGGGAGTAGTTAGAGCGCCCCCTACCAGATATGCGTCATATCGCCAAACACTTATAGTTGTAAGTTGCATCAGTGTTCGTTACTAGAACGGCCCATAAAATATTTCAATTTACAGCTGTCGACGTCTTTTGTTTCGTCCAGCTCGAAATTTATTACCCTAAGAAAACAGAGTTTTCGATTTCATATTTACTGTACACAAAATATTACAACAGATAAAAACGCTTTCGATATTTAAACTAAATACCTAACGAAAACATAAAATTAACTTATTCTGGATTAAATCTGCAAAGGCGTAGAAGGTCCAGACAATTTTTTATTTTGAAATTGCAACTTGCAACACTAAATTTACACTTTTAACTCGAAATTTTGAATTCGAATTCAAAAAATCAAGGTAACATATTGAATTATCCATCCGCGTTACTGTTTGCGATTCAATTGCCGTAGGATACGCTGGGATTGGGTCGGGTAAGGCTACGATTTAATGAAAACTTTGAAATTTCCAATTGCAAGTCGAAATTGGAATAAAAACTGCCAATTAACGCATAAAATAAAAAAATATGATGTCCAGGATTTGTGTATTTATAGATGCCAATCAAAAATAACTCGCCGTTTATGATTGGCGTGTTTTAGTTGAGTAATAAGCTTCGATATTCATTTAGAAAGCACACAGTTGTAGACAATGTGTAACATTGTGTGCAGAATATTTGATTGTATCGGTCCCTAGAGTTATAAACTAAGCGGAGATCAACCTTATTCAGAGTTAAGGGAATTGCTGTTTCGTATAAAGGGACTTCCTTTCTATCGTAGCTTAAACTATTGCAACTATTATTCTAGCTATTGTAAGTTATTAAAAAGTGTTTTAAATTAAAAACCAGACTAATTAGATATATGTGTATATTATTGTTGGTCCTTGATTGACAGATTTCATGTACCTACAGTGTTGGACCAAGAAAATTTAACACACGAAGAAAAGCTGCTTGTTATCCTTGTTTTTCTTTTGAATGATTTCAAGGCATTTGCTGTTAACTAGTTTATAAAGTAAACCCTTATAGAAAGCGTAAATTCTCAGTCCAAAATTAAATGTCCTATTCCTTCGCTATTCTTTCTATTTCAGCCGAGCTTAACTTATAATTTCTCCGTATGTATAATGATAAGTGTGGTGGCTGCTTCCAGTTTTGCAGACTTAGCTGGTTTCGTTTTGTTAATAAATTTATAGCCTGCACAATTCCTAAACGCGTTATGAGTTAATGGATTTTACCAATTTTACATCTTACAAACGCGAACAAAAGCGTTTTTAGAGTTAAGAAAATACAGGACAGAACACTAAGCTTTCAATTTCGTAGTCGTTTTATTATAGAAAAAAGGATAACCTATTGATTTTATTTATTTAAATACACATATTTATTAATTCCTTACTAATGACTCCGTTTGTAAAACAAGTTCTAAACGTTCACAGTTAATTATCAAATTTCTTTAATAAACAAAAACAACCCCATGCAACGAGAATACATATACGTAATGCACTTCTTACACATCAATTGCAATATGATACAAAATAAGCGATTCCATGGAGCAATATTAATTATACTAATTGCTTTATCGAAAATTCAATTACGCTCCAATACCAAGCACATATACCACACTAAGTATTACTTATACAACCTAATTTTCTTTTTGTCGCTTGCATTTAATGTGATCACTCTTTTTGTTATAGGCATTGGCAAAGATCATTCGAAGAAGATGCGCTTGGAACCTTGGGGAAGCACGTTTAATTTAGAAAATCTTCCCAGGCATTACCATTCGAAGAAAGGTAAGAAACAACTAAAGTTGATTAAGATTAAAATATGATTTGATCTAAATATTTAAAGTGATGCCCTAGACAAAAATTTTCAGTCTCTCTCCAGTCTCTCAGAGTCTTTCAGCGTCTCTCACAGTCTTTTCCAGTCTCTCAGTTATTGCCCAGGTGTTCTTATAGATCTCTCACAATCTCTGTATGAGAGACTCGAACGATAAAATTGTTAATTCAGAGATTCTAGTCTCTTGTTCAGAGATTTGAGTATCTCGTTCAGAGATTCCAGTCTCTCGTTCAGAAACTGGATACGAAATGAGAATCTCTCTATGAGCGACTCGAATCTCTCGTTCAGAGACGCTAAACAGTCTTTTTGACAGTCTCTCTCAGCGACACCAGAGAGACTCGATGAGAGGCGGAGACTCGAGTCTCACTTTCAGAGATTCTGAGAGACTGAACATTTTTATTTCGGGTGGATATGTAGTTTTAAAAAATTGAATCGCAATTGAATTGAATTTTTTGTTTCAGTTGATCAATGTCCCACGTCTAGACCGGAAGGTCGTCATCGACGAAAACCAAGGGTTGGAAATACACATCACCTACCACCCTTGAAAGACGAAGAACATCGTCATCTAATAATTAAAGGTCATTTTCAAATATTACTTTTAAAATATATACTTATTAAGTTTGCACATCAGTTTCCACAAAAGCTTAACGTCCTAACTACGTCCCTTATAACGATTTTCGTTCCCTATTTATTACTACATCTACGGATATAAGTTTTGTTCATTTAGTTGAATGTCAAACTGACATTCAACTAGCAATCCAAATCATTTTTAATATGCATTCAGCATCGTAGTATTAGATGATTCCGGAAGTATCCAACTGAGTTTTACATTTTAACTCATCTTACGATTTCATCTATCTATAATACCGATTATTAAGTAAACGATTTGCAAGTTTTATGAAGTTTAACCTCCAATTACTTCAGCAGGAAATTCGATCCATCAACTGCATTTGCGGCGAACAGATATCATTTGCATTCTTTAAATTGTGAAAGCCTGAATTTTTAACAAGTTAAACAACATATTAAAATAACTGAACAAGTCAAAAGTTAAATACGTGATTAAAAGCAACTTGAATTTTCGTACTTTACCTAAGTAATGATTAGGGGTAGGTCGAGGACAATTTTTTGTAACGAGTTATTTATTCAAATCGGATCAAATGCAGCACAGTTGTCACTTTGTAATACAAATAATAGATAGAGAGTAAGATACAGGAAGGATTCGCTGTTTGTATTTAAAGAGGTAGTTGGTATTCAGTCCGCGCGAATGCAAAAGTCGGAACAGCATCAGTAGAACAGGAGCAAGAATTTGTGGATTCAATAAAATCCGCGGCGCTCTCCGGTATTATGACAAACAAATACTGCTATCGTCACTTAGCTTGGAGCACGCAGCACTTGGAAGCATCAACAAGCAGTAAGTATGGAAAGGAACAACCAATAGCATCAGCGGCAACATGTGAACAGTATATTCTTACATATTCGGACTCGCACAAAGCAAGTAATTGCAATTTAAAGCGCGCACCTGGTTACACACATTACAGCCACTGTCTCTCGAGCTCGTTCATTTCTCTTTTCTACTTGTTGCCACCTGTTTTCATTTGAAATTTCCACAACGTTTAATTTTCCAAATATGACAACAGCTTAAGATAACCATTTCAAATTTCAATAAGTTCGCAAAAATAAAACGGAAAAACTAAGGCCTACTTTTCTCTATTTTCATGCTGAAAGTAATAATAAAATACCGCGTTAATATACTATATAAATATGAAGAAGCGCCTTTTTAAGTCATTATTGTCATTCATTATAACTCTGACAGTGGCAGGTGTGAGGGTGGCTGTTATAAATAACTAAGGTACGTATGAACGGAATTCATAGCTTACGCCTTTCTCAAATTAAGTGCAACTCAATAAAACATTAATAAAACCAAATTGTGCCCTGCCATTTTGCTTCGAACGGAATAATTGAAATGTAATTTGGATGCCTTATCTACACGTCATATCTACGGAGAAGGGATATCTTTCCGAACAATGTTCATTATTAATGTTCGCAATTACAAGGTTTGACGTGATTTTACTAAATTATTAGAAGAAATAGCTGGGCCCGTTCAGATATTTGAACAGTGAGATGGCAACATTTTCAATAGTTTTATAATCTCTGTTCAAACATTAAAAATCTAAAAACGCAACCAATTATACACTCACATGGAGACATTTGAAGCCGCCTAGACTTTTGCAATTGTTTATTTCCAAATGGAATACGGAAAAATTGGCGATTTATAATTAAAAATTCTGATTAAACATACTGTATGATGATCAGTGAGAGATTGAGAAACACCTAAACATATCTAATTAAACTGACTCTTAGTTAATAAAAAATAACTACTAGGCTTTACCATCAGCGGCATCGTTAGCGTTAAGGCCCTAAATATCTGTCAATGATCATCAACGACTACATGAAACTAATTTATTTTATCCCTAGGGAACAATATTCTTTTCTGGATAAAAGGTACCCTATGTTCTTTTCTGTACCCCTGACAATGTGTGTACATAATTTCATGATGATCGGTTGAGTCATTAAAGAGTGAAATGGTAGCAAACAAACTCATACTCGCATTATTTATAATATTAGTTTGAATATTACTTTCCTAGCTTCTTGAGTGAACAAAAGATGAAAATATTCGGAAGTATTAAGTGTTTAATGAGAATCTTAGCAAGAGCTATGCAGTGCATCCGTGAAATATGCATATAATTGAAAACGCACAAAAATTTAGGAAGTTCAATTATCTTTTGCGTGAAGCTGTAATAATAATTGAATTTTAAAAGAACCCTTAAACTCCTTGACTGCAAAATGGTATCTCTTTGTGCTTCTCTTGGTAATCCGAGAATTACGTTAAATTAATCGGATTTAAGGAAGCTGCGCCTAATACAATGGAGGAACTCTCAAACGTAACTCTTTCTAATCCTTATAAATGAAGATTGCTCCGTTTCGTTTGCATCCAACGATACCATCCAAAATTGCAAGTAAACAAATAGAAATATATAATGTATTAAGTACAGTTGCAACTCTTTAACAATTCCTTTCGTTATAAAATACGTAGGCAAACAACTGGCCAACTAGTAGGGATGAACCTAAAGCAAACTTGAACTTTGTAGGAAAACTAAAGCTCGTGGGAAGGCAGCAACACTACAACTAAGGCAACGTGCTAGAACAGTTTCAAAATAAACAAGGTATTTTACGAAAAATACGAACTACCATACAAGAAACAGGAACAAACGTAAATACACGAAAGATACGACGAACCCCTAGGAACGATTTATTAAACAACGAATTTCATCAATTTCTTCGAATTATTTTATGGTGTTACACAGATTCCTAGATGTCTACATAATTAATAAGCTAAAAGGGATTCAGAAATCCCGACAGTTCGCCCTTCTACAGGATTGTTCGGAAAGTCATTTCGTTTTTTTTTTGTGGAAATGAAAGACAGTTTTCGTATAATAAACAAATACTTTATTAAATTATATATTGGCCGTTCTGGTCCAACACCTTTTGCCATCTTTCTGGTAGTAGCATAATTCCACGCTCATAAAATTTTTGGTATTTGCTGGCAAAAAACTGATCGAGGAGGTTTTTGACCTCCTCATTTGAGGTGAAGGTTTTACCGTCTAAAAAATTTTGGACTGACCGAAACAAATAATAATTCGATGGTGCCAGGTCTGGAGAATATGGTGGATGTAGCATTGTATCCCATTCAAGCTGTAAAAGCTTTTGGCGAGTGACCAAACTTGTGTGAGGTCTCCCGTTGTCTTGGTGAAACACTACACCTTTCCTGTTGATTAGTTCTGACCTTTTCTGTTGAAGTGCATCATTCAGTTTGTCCAGCTGATGACAGTAGACTTCCGAATTAATCGTTGTGTTATCCGGTAAAAGCTCAAAAAAAAAAACGATTCCTTTAAAATCCCCACCAAACAGACAACATCACCTTTTTTTGGTGAATATCGGCTTTGGAAATGGTTTGAGCCGGTTCATCTTTTTTGCTCCATGACCTCTTGCGTTTGACGTTGTTGTATACAACCCATTTTTCGTCCCCAGTGATGATGCGCTTCAAAAACGGATCATTTTCGTGACTTTTGAAAAGCGAATCGCAGACGTCAATGCGGCGACACAGATTTCTCTCTGTGAGAACATGGGGAACCCATACATCGAGCTTCGAGGATAATCCCAGGCCTTTCAAGTGGTCATAAACTGTTGAATTTGATAAATTTAACCTTAATCCGATCTCAGGTGTTGTTATTCGCCGGTTCACATCAACTAATACCTTTGTTGCGTCTTTATCAGCTTCAACCGGCCTTCCCGAACGTGGTGCATCTTCGACATCAAAATTGCCGGATCGAAATTTAGCGAACCAGTTCTGGCACTGGCGTACTGTCAACACACCTTCTCCATACACATCAGTCAATTTCATTCTGGCTTGAACAGCATTTTTACCCTTTCTGTAGTAAAACAGTAAGATATGTCGAAAATGCTGCTTATCGCTCTCCATATTTAAAAGGGCACCAACCAAAAACTACTGCGTAGAATTAATTTGAATTTTTCACACACAAGCCTTGCTATATGAGCTCTCAAAGCATATAAAAATTATACGGCTTAAATGTGAAGTTGGGTGCAAAAGAATACAATTAAATCCTCTGTCGGGAAAAAACGAAATGACTTTCCGAACAACCCTATATTACTATTAAAGGGTAGATGTTCTCGTCCACCACCATTTTGGATCCAACTTACGGAGAGAAATCATATAAAAATGTAAGCATTGGCTTATCTAAGTGTATATCTACAACTACATCGATTTCAAATTTCCAAAAGAAAACTAAAATTGGAGCTAAGGTATGACTAAAAAATAAATTACATAAATGCACAATTTGTTACCACGTCAATATGCGTAATATTCTATTTTTCCCACATCTAACGGATCCAAAATGGCTACCACAATATTCCCTTTTATACAGTCTTAGTGTTACTACTGTGATGTTGTTAAGGATAAATGAATTGTACTCTATCCTGTACTTTCTGAAACAATTTTCTTCTTTTCCAGGAGGATTTCAACCTGTATTTGCTGAGGAGCTCGCAAATCTCTCAGTAGCACGAGGTAGAGACGCTCGCTTCAAATGCATTGTCGATAATTTAGGAGGATATAAGGTAAACAAATTATTTTGAAACAACGACAGTACCTACCTAACGACGTGCCTAATAAAAATTTTAAATTAATACGAAGATTCACAATCCAATCCCATAAACAAAATGCTAACGGGGAAAAGAAAATTCTTTGGTGCACGCCTACATCTCGGTAAAACTTTAAGACAATAAAAGGAAGCAGATAATAATGTCACAAATAATCCAGATCTCAATTTAAAGAATAATTTCCAGGTGACATTCGAATCTTACGTTCGAAAAAGGAAGAGCTTAGAGTTCGGAAAACTCTTTACGAAATGTCAAACTCCATCCGTTCTACTAATAAAATGAAGATATTCAAACGAAAGTCTCGCGGCGATATTTCTTTCTTTGTTTTGACAACAGAAAATGTTTTATCCTATCCAATTATTTAATTAACTAAGAAATGATTACGGTACGCTCCTTATGGGTCTCGGTTTCTGTTCACATGAGAACCATAATGTAAATACAAGTCAAATATGTGTACAGGTCCGGATAGTATTAGAAAATCGACAACCTTCACTAACCAGCTGTGTGTATTATAAATGATTTCAAGTTTGCGGCGCTTTTCGGCCATTTGTCAAATTTACACTATTATTACATCCTTCTCCCAAGTTGCGTAGCACACACGTGCTCTTTATCAAGTCGCCTCCATCGTTTGGTTTTACTCGGACAGTTGGACATAAACGTATCATCCGACAGATGTGCAGACTGACCCGCTTGTACAATATTAATTCTCAGGATGCAAACGGCATAAATATATATACACGTACACAAATCTAAATTAACCATCTTACACTAATTATTCTACTGTCTATAAATATTAACATGCTTATACTGAGCGTCTTCGACCGTCTATATGTTGTGCTGATGGGATCTAAATGGCGATGTACGTCTGGCGGTTTCGATAAACTACTAACCAAGAACATAATCGGTTCTGATACTGTTTTGATTTGGGTCTAAAGTTTCGCCACCACAAATGAAAAACTTCTTCAGAGGTCCTTCCATCTCCGATGCTGGATGAGGCCTTCAGAACCCGAATCAGAATAGATCCTCGTTAAAATAAAGACCATTGGGAGGGGCGGTGCATAATAACTTCCCTATAAGCGTCTTAGCGTCATTGTGGTCTATGATGTGTAAATTTGACAAGGGAAGCATTGTACAGCGACTTCCACTGAAGATTGACAGAAGCAGAAGCCTTTTGTACAATAAAGGGCAAACGTTTTGACTTAGGGCCACTTACGAACCCCTACACAAACGATTATATATTCATTTAAAAGAAAAATTTGCTATAATTGTACGATATCTTCGATCCTTGTCTTCTAGAATCTCTAACTATGTATCTGAACAAAAAAAAGGAGTACAAGGACACATTGCAAACCCTAGATACTACAAAACTTGTTTATTGCGGACATCGCTAAAGTGGACGAAACACAGGTACTAAAAAACCTGTTCAGTGCGGACACCTGTGTTTCGCCCATTTTAGCGGTGTCCGCAATAAACAGGTTTTGTAGTACATAGGGTGACCGTCGTTTTGTTTTATCTATTCCTTTAAATCCGTCTCCACTTTCTCTTTTACAACGTACGTCTTTCTACTGTTTGATATTGTTTTGTAAAGGAATAAATAAATCAAAAAGGGGCTTACCTTAGGTATTACAAAACCTGTTTACTGCAGACACCGCTAGTGTGGGCGAAACACAGGTACTAAAAAACCTGTTTAGTGCGGACACGTGTGTTTCGCCCACTTTAGCGGTGTCCGCAATAAACAGGTTTTGTAGTACATAGGGTGACCGTCTTTTTGTTTTATCTATTCCTTTAAATCCGTCTCCACTTTCTACTTTACAACGTACGTCTTTCTACTATTTGATATTGTTTTGTAAAGGAATAAAAAAACCAAAAAAAGGGCTTACCTTAGGTATTACAAAACCTGTTTACTGCAGACACCGCTAAAGTGGACGAAACACAGGTACTAAAAAACCTGTTTAGTGCAGACACCTGTGTTTCGCCCATTTTAGCGGTGTCCGCAATAAACAGGTTTTGTAGTACATAGGGTGACCGTCTTTTTGTTTTATCTATTCCTTTAAATCCGTCTCCACTTTCTACTTTACAACGTACGTCTTTCTACTATTTGATATTGTTTTGTAAAGGAATAAAAAAACCAAAAAGGGGCTTACCTTAGGTATTACAAAACCTGTTTACTGCGGACACCGCTAAAGTGGACGAAACACAGGTACTAAAAAACCTGTTTTGTGCGGGCACCTGTGTTTCACCTACTGTAGCGGTGTCCGCAGTAAACAGGTTTTGTAGTACCTACGGTGACTGTCTCTTTGGTTTATTTATTCCTTTACATTCACCTCCACTTTTCTACTTTACAATGTTTTATAAAGGAATAAATAAATCAAAAAGGGTTCACCCTAGGTACTACAAAACCTATTTACTTCGAAGTGGGCGGTGTCCGCAATAAACAGGTTTTGTGGCACTTGCTAGATACCAGGGCGTCCCGTTTTTGTTTATTTACATTACTTACGCTTTTTTTTTCAGGTGGGATGGGTCAAAGTTGATACAAAGGCGATTCAAGCTATCCATGATCACGTCATCACTCACAATCCACGCGTATCGGTTTCCCATAGCGACCATGCAACATGGTACCTACTTATTAAGAAGGTCGAAGAATCTGACAGAGGGATGTACATGTGCCAAGTTAATACAGATCCAATGATATACCAGGTAGTTATTTGCTTTTAATACCTAATGAATTTTGAGAACGTGCTTACATAAGAAAAGTATCTTTAAGTATCTTCTCTAACGCTTGATTAAAGCAAACACAGAACATCTCGTTTGCCAGATAAATTGCAAAGATTAAACGGTGGTCAAGTCAAGAAAATTGAGTCGTAAATACATGAGTTAAATAGAACAAATATTCAAATTGAAGCATAAAGTTAGATTAAAAATAGAATTGCAAACTAAACTGTGTCTATCAACAACGTCAGTCTCATTCTGGAACTATCTATTCAGTTAATTTAAAGAATTTGGTTTATAATAAACTATTTATAAAACGACGTGTATAAGTAGCTAAAAGTCGACTTGAAAATACGTCGTTCACTCGTATCAAACAGGATAGGATATTGTGAATAAAATGTGATCCCTGGGGAAATAATTGTTAAAAATCGTTCTACATCCCACAGTAAAGTTCTCTACATTTCAACATCTAAATTCTACTTTATTACCTGCTTTAATGGAACTGTTATTGAGTTATATTTGTTGGAATATATCAAATGATCTAACAAATTAGTGAATCAAAATACTGTACATACCGAACAACATTTTATCATTAAAGACAGAAATACGCAAAAGAATATCATCTCTATCGTACATGTTTCTTCGTTTCAGATGTCATTTCTTGAGATTCTACATCCCCCGGATTTTGACATGTTGGAAACGTCATCATCTATCGAAGTTCAAGAAGGGTCCCCACTGAAATTGCAGTGTAAAGCATTCGGTCGTCCGAAACCTCGCATAATTTGGCGCCGCGAAAATAATACCGAAATAAATATACGTGATGCTGACGGAAACAAGGTTAAAGGTGAGCTAATTTACACTGTTTTCTGTTTGCCTACAATATAAGATAATATAATTTCTAAAGTATTTAATCAATTTTGATTATTCTTCTACTCGAAACTTAAGTTGAAGTCATACAACAAAGTCATAACTGTTGTGATCTCGATCTATCTGCTAAGAATTAGGTATCACTGTAAATAAATTACTCGGATATGAATAAATATTGATGATCTGATTTTATCGATTAGAGATCGATAGTTATAAAACAGGATTACGAAGATTGAGCGAAATGTTAGTCAGATTTCTAGTGTTGTCAAAGAATCTATCGGGTAATAAAAACAGCATTGTTTTTCTTTTCTTAGCGGGTAGTTCGACAATGGATATTTTTCTTCTGAAGCGGGAGATGTAGTGGCAATAGTAAGATGTTCGCGAAGCTTCTGTTTCTTTATCTGCTTGTGGTTTTATTCTACATGTAGGTTCGATCCACTTACGAAACGAATACGACTTTTTTCGTACAGTCGACGTTTGTATCTCAAACCCGTAGGGAGTCACTCAAACGAAACAGACTTTTCCGTGGCTGCAAACACCAGAGTCATTTTACGACAAAGAAAATTGAACTTCACCGAGAATAAGTCTTTTAAGATCCCGCCGCTACGTACTGCATGCAACACTTATTAGTTTCTTCAACGTAATGCGTTATAAACAACGTAATTCAAATTAAAACCCACAGGACCCCTTCTAACTAAGTACATCTATATGTGGGTACTGAAAGCGAAATAACTGATGCCATCTAATTAAGTGTTTCGATATTTCTAACTCCTAATTACTTAATCAAAACACCAAACAGAAATTCGAATGCGTGAATAATTAGATAACAAGTTCAAAAATAAATTACACATTTGCGAACATTATAATCTAATCTATAAGCTTTCCCTTACTTCTCATTACTCCTACACATATATATATCTGCTTCTAATGTCTCTAAGTAACCCTTCATGACTCAGAAAGTGTCTTAATACCATATTACGTTTCTCTATTTTTATTAACTTCCATTATCTAACACCTCTTCGTTTCTAACCTTCTCTATCCAAGATCCATGCTTTCTAACACCTCAATTTTGTATAATTACTATTAATATTCCAAATTATATGAAAAAGTGAATTGTGACGTGGATCATTTTGAGATCTAAAGGAAGTTATTTATTTGATGACTTCGCCTTCAGCACCGAAATTATTTTCCGCTAATAAATCTACCACGAATTTTGTAGTAAAATTGAACGAGTATTTAAAAGTTACAACTGCTTGTTATTGTTTAATGGCATGCAATAAAGTTTTCGTAAGCTGAATATAAACCTGTCGTCATTCTCTATGTGTTACTGTAAAATATAATTGTACCTGAAACACATATTTTATATCCGTGTTACTTGTATCTACCCTGACGACATTACAAAACATCCAATTCACTTTCAAAATGAAGCAATCAAACCGATATTCAGGCACAAGGTAGAACATACAAAAATTGTATTATTATTAAGTATTCAATTCCTATTTTTTTATTCGATTTGAAATCAAAGCCACAAGGGGGTTAAACGTTATTTATTTATTTAGAAACAACAACCGAGGTTTCCCCCCAAGCCCTTGCCTGGAGAAAAACCTACAATATAGACGAAATATTCAGTTTTTAAATAACTGAATAAACTGTAACCCCCGTGTACCTTTGAATTCAAACCTCATACAGAAGTTGTTTAAAAATTGCTCAAATCTTAACAAACATTAACTATAGTTAATTATCTACGTACGCTGTCGGATTATTTTATGTCGGTCTCAGTTAATATCTAAGTAAATGAGTGCAACCCTTAGTTTCATATGTATTCTTGAAAACTGCAAAACAATTGTTCAATTAGTTCGTCGAAATAATTTATTTTTTAAAAACGCAATCATCTATTATATAATACACGCTTCGATTTGTGTTAAATAAAATATTGAATATTTGCAGAACCAATTTTTAATGAAATACAGCAAATGATAATTTAGCTCGATTGTGCTGCAAACAAGTAGAGTTCATTTTCTCTCGAACATAATGTTTAACTGAATAATAATAAAATTAAACTGTCAAACAGAACTTACCGTATTAAGTGAACAAACACTATTTGCAACAACTAAACCACTACAGAAATTCAATCAAGTGCACTGAATTCAATGAACATCTGCTTACAAAGCAAATCAGTTAGTAAATAATAATTGTTATTTCGTCACTAATTAAGACCAATAGTTTGTGGTGAACCACCACCGTCATTATCATAATCATCATAAGGTCGTCAGTCTTAAGATTGGTCGGACACACCTCAGTACATAAGCTATGAAATTTCGGTACCGAAATCTTATGTATTTTCTTATGAAGGTCCTTTTTCCTATCCTGACTAAATCATCGCATTTTTCAGTAATCTAATCTAGCTCTACCTGTACCCCTCCTAACTGTTTCTGCCTCTAATATGTCTCTGCCTAGACCTTCAAGCCTAAGAAGGTGTCCTACCAACCTATCTCGCCTATTTCTTATTGACTTCCATGGAGTCCTCTGTTCTCCTATTCTTTCTATTGTCTTTTCATTTATAACCTTCTAATCATTCGCCTATAACACCACATTTCGAACGCTTCTAACCTTTTCTTTTCCGCCGCGTCCACCGTCCATGTTTCGCACCCGTACATCGCCGTGCGAAAGTCATATCTACACCTTTAATAATCTTTTTCGAATTTCTAAATGAACCTATCGAGAGCATAAAAGTAACTTCTTTTTGTTGAAGGCGATTTGATTCTGCGTTATCCTTTGTTTAATATCTCAACTGTTCCTTCCGTCCTGAGTTTTTCGTCTCCTGTATTTATATTCTCTTGCACATCAGTATTTTTGTTTTGATATCAAACAGAGTTGTTAAGGGCCTCGTTCGTGTTGTCCTACAGTTAGTAATAGAACTTCGACTTAAGTAGGTATAACAAATAGACAACTGTGTGTGCTTTTTCTTTGTTTCAGTTGAAAATTATTATGGTGAAGTACTTGATCTACCGAAAATGATGCGTTCTGATATGGGGAATTACATGTGTATTGCCACCAATGGGGTACCACCTACGATTATAAAAACTATTCGGGTTACAGTTCGTTGTAAGTAATTGTGTTCGTTACATTTTTAGAGTACAATACAATTTTACATCTTTTTGTTTATACAATTTGAAGAGTTTAAAATATAAAAGTCCAATTTGGCCAGGTGAAACTATTTTGACAATGGTTTTGTATTTTTTTTTTACGTATAGGGGAAATAAAATTTGGTTTCAGTTTTATACGCGAAAATCGGCGTGATAGCATATTGGAAATAATGAATAGTATTTTCAAACGTAGATGAGTTCTTCTCAAGTTATTACAATTGAGAATGCCAAAAACTGCGCCAGAAGGCCTTCTCGTTCCTAACGATGCCGTTGCTTCGAACTAATTAGAAAGATAATTTCCCTTTTTTCGCCGTTTAAGTAGAGAAATTCGTACGGTTGAATTCGAGAGAGGACCACTCGGTTTTATAGCGAACATCCGCTAAAGTTCGTAACTCTTCCAAAGGTTATATCATGCGGTTTTATTAAAATGAAATTAAGATTAATGTGCATCTTCTACAGGAAGTCGTCATTGCATTCCTTAAGTGCTTCACTTCAAAAACTGCAATCCAATTCTTATTTCCTTCAATAGTTGATAAAATATTCCAATATTCCATAAATATAAATGAGATTTTTTTTGTTTGAAAAGAAGTCTTTAAATTGTTGATGAGGTGGTTTCACTTGAGCAAATAAAAATGCCCGCTCGAAACCCCTCAGAGAAACAAAAATTGGACTACAGTTAAGTGCTGAAATGTTTAATTAACTTTAAAACATTCAGCGCAGTGAACTTATAGCAAATGGAGTTACAATTACTCGATAAATGTGGACAGCAAATTTGCAAGTTTCATGAGTTACCACACGAAGATGTGCAAAATGTATGACCTTATTTAATGAAAGAATCGTCCATTTCAACTACAATTTAATTAATGAAATAAAATAAACCCCTTGAAAAAAGACACAATTCAAAATTAAAAAACGGCGTGCTGTTTTACATGAGAAACACTCTGTATATGTTACGATGAAATTAAGTATTCATTAGAGAAAAGTTTGGCTAAATTTACATAAGGAAGAGGCTATGTAATTAATTTTAAAAATAATGTAGGTACTAAAAAGTGATGATTAATCATTTTCCTTGTAATTTATTAAATTTTTCCACTTAACGTATTTAGGATACGGCGCGGCTGCACGACTTTTTTACCACAATTTTAAACCATTTTACAAGTGAATAAATATTAAAGCGAGTTATTATAGTCGTTTGGAAAAATTTGGAAATTTCCACTGTTACCCTACAAAAATAGTCACCAAAAAAAGCTCTGTTGAATTGCTATCGATACCTAAGCATACATGTATTATATATACAATATTACAAATGGAGCTTTCCACAATCTTCCACAGGTAATGCTTATTAAGTGTTACGAACAAACACCTAATAGAGCTTTATATTAAGTATACTGAGATAATTTATCTTACCTTTATAATATACTTGATCCTGCTTGTGTATATACAAGCTCCTCGATCCTAAAACTACGTACAATCCATTATAACTCACTATCAAACACTAAATTCAGTATTTAACAATTGCACACGTAGTAAGTACACGAAAAACCACTCACTAATTACCTGTATGATTCCGTAAATTAGATAATATATCGCACGGCCGATCGCGTGAAAAACTGAAATGAAATTGCTTCATTCTTAAGCAAAATGTGCTGGCTTGTTTGTTATAAAACTGGAAAAAACTGGATCTGTTTGTCGAAAACAACGACTCATTGCCCAATCACAGTCGTACAGTTTAAAGGGCAAAACAATGTCACGCTTTCATATTAGACAAATAAATTTCAAGGATTTATCATCGGCTCCAGCAAAAAAAGAGCAAATACAATTACGTAGAAAATTCTTAGCAAAATTGTTTTCGTCTAATCCAGGAACTTGATTCTGGTATAATGTCTTGTTGCAGTCTTGGCAAAGCCAGGGTAATTTGATAGGCAAATGATTTCCTATGAAAACGTGGTGATGGAAATGAACAAACTCACAATTAGTATCAAACAGGAAATTATCAATTTATCTTCAAATTTACTTTCCATTTATGTTTTAGAAAATGCAATAATGTCGTCAAATAATTTTGTATATATACCAAACTTAGTCACTGTCGCATTTTTTAATGAGAAACCTATGTGAAAAATAGAATTAAGTAATTATTTCTTTTGCTATTTTTAATAAAATAAAGTTTCTTCATGGCAAAAGAGAAGTAAACTGACCAAATAACACATTAACTGCAAACAATAAAATTTTGGCATGTAATCTTTTCTACATTTATTGTAAAAAATGTCGTAGCAACCAAATATAGGCAAATACGAATGAATATTAATTACCAGATAGGTAAATTTCACTTTCGTGCAAACCGAACTTCAAAACCATTTGAAATGTGCACAATAACAATTATTGTTTAGGCCACTTGTACTATTCTGCTGGTGACAGTCATAACACATATTAACATAACGAATGTGTTACAAAGTAGAATACGCACATCTAATAACATCCTATCTTTAAATCTGAAACCAAATTTACAGTTTTGTGGTTTCTATCAGAATTTCGGGTAGATCACCGTGAAATAAACCAATATAAAGCTGTTAAACATTAAATACAAATTGTTACAGGTCTGAAGCATACTGAACTGAACTATTTGAATACTATTACTAAATGTATTACACCTAGTTTTGGTAATTATCTTTTCAGTTCATCCAATGGTCCAGGTACCTAATCAGTTGGTAGGGGCTCCTTTAGGAACCGATATTACCCTAGTGTGCTTTGCTGAAGCGTATCCTCGATCCATAAACTACTGGTTGAAAGATGGCAAAGGTACTATAGTTTAAGATTTAAATTAAAAAAGATCTCTAGGGAAGGAAAAATGCCTAGTTCTTTTACCTATAGAAAGAGGAGGAAGACTCACAGGGATCCTTTTTGGCTTAAAGGTTAAAAATTGAATACTAGAATAATAATATACACTACAGGAATATTGAGAACCGAACGTAATTATCGCGTAATTATCAATGAGCGAAATCATCGTTTGAAAATACCAATACGGTTCAAAGTTCGCAAAAGAAACCGTAATTTTACTTCAGTCTTCATTTTTTAAATACGATACATAGGGAACAATTTCAATACTTTTGAAAAACAAAAATGGAGACAGACTCTAAGTAAAATTAGTATCATTTTTTTTTGCGAACTTTAAAGCGTCTGGAAAAAATTAACGCCTACTGGAGGTGTCTGGCAGTGATTATTAATTTTTAATAAGAATCAGCACTCAGACTTTAAGAAAAGCGAGTAATGTTTTTAAGTACTTTTAGCCCCTGATATCTGCAAATCTAGCTCTACAAGAAAATGTATAATTTCTATGTTCAATAATTTTGAATTGAAACAATACTTATCGCAAAGCAAACTGGTAAATAAATTGCAAATGAATATGCAAGTTTTACGATAAATAAAGTATAGCAAATGTGTTACTGAAGGCGAAAGGCCTCTGCGGGGTCTTCCTCTTTTCATGATGTAAAATACTTTCGTCTTTAGGGTTAATTTGGTTTTATGTAAATGTAAAAATGTAGTAAACGACGATAGGCGCATTTAAAGATGACGAAAGCATCGTCGGTTGATTTGAAATCGACATAAGAACGATCGTCGAGTGTAAACAGATAAAGTAGTGAGAATCCTCATTCGTATTTAAGTAAGATATGGTTTTAATGGGGTGAAATTAAAAGCCCATCTGTCTTTTTCACTTCGCGATTCCTTTAAGAGTTGAGGATTTGCTCGGAGGAAGTTCTGTGCGAGCGAAATTTATAAATCCTGCCAATCGAATTCAATTTCGCATCGATTATGGTCGTTTAATATAAAACTCTTGAGGGCGAACCAACAGTCTCGTAGTGCACAGAGTCAGGACGTGACGCGTTAAGAATTAGTAGGATAGAATTAAGTGGCTTTCATTAATCATGTTCAGAGGAAGTGGTAGAGTTCATCGTTGAACATATCGCATCACAATCAGTTGGTAGGAGGTGGTGGTTGCCGCTACCACTCCTTCTACTGCTTCAGACTCGTTCATGATGAGCAACCCCTTATCGCTTTTACAAATTAACCCTAATTGTCGACATTGACAGTAACGATAACTAACTCTAACACGGTCCATCAACAGATAAGGAACCAATACTAACACCTATCAAATAATCGGTTAAATTTACATAATCAAGCAAGCTGATATTACATTATGTATAGTCCGTTGCACTTTGGCTCAGTTGTTACACTTCAATTACGCTAAACAAATGAATTAAAATACCTTCGACTATAATATACTAGGCACATTTTATTGGGGGGTAGGTTATTAGAAAGCACCGCGGTGAGAGTTTTTGAACCGTACCTCGTTTTGTAGATCAATTGCGAAATGCAATATTTTCATAAAATGGATAATTTTCAAAACAACCATCGATCTTTTAAAACCTTTTGAGTACCACGAACTGTAAAGAAAGATTGTGGTATTTTTTAGTGTTTTATTTCTGCTCTATGTAATTTTTTTTTGCTGTTTCTATAGTTTGGTTCAAGTCTAGCAGCGAGATGGACCTAACGTTTATGTATAAAATAGGTATTGGAAACTATGTCTAACTGTCTCCACACGTTTTCTTCTGGTATTTTCTTACAGGTGAATTGGTATTTTATAATAAGAAATACGATGTCGAGTTACAATCCTTGTCGGATTACGAACTAAATATGACCCTGAAAATAAGGAATCTCACTGAAAGAGACATGGGAAGCTATAACTGCGTATCCAAAAATCCTGTGGGAGAAGTGTCTAGCCAAATTCGAGTTTACGGTAAGGATTAAGTAACAGATTGACGAAAGAATGTGAATTATACCGTTCCTAACATTGCTGATTTTTAATTGTTAGAAATAACAGATGATAGGTCGTCCAACCCCCTAAATAAAGCTTATCGAGGCGGTTCAAATGATGTTGCGACCAAAAAGCCCAAAAGACCGGTGAAACTGCTACGCCCAGCAAATGTGGGAAATGCAATCAGAGATGAAAACGCGAAAATGTATAATCCAAAACAGCCACGCTTACAAAACAGGGCAAAGCAAAGTTTCCCGTATGTTTGTTACTTATACCTTTCCTTAATTTTCTATCTCATTGTTTAAACATTTCTGAATGTTAAATGTTCGTTGTATAGTGACAATAACACTGACGTAATCCAACTATCACTTACACTAAACAAAATAATGTGAAAATAACTATCCTGATGTACTTCTCGTATTTTCTCAAACTTGTCGTGTTTTTCCTTTTGAAGCAATGGAAGTAGAAAATGGGAAAAGGGAATTTAACAAAAGTAAACCGATTTATTAAACGGGCCTTTAAATTTGTTGCCTTAAAGTTATTCGAAATAAATATGTAAAACTTAATATCTTAAATTCGGAATATGTCAAATTGTACATTTACAGTTATTTACCGGTTCTTTTTTTATTTGCTGCCATGCCGTACTTTCAAAAATCTGGGTTCAATTAATGAGAGGTAGAAAGAGGGAACAAGACTTGCTTCTTAATTATTTATGTGAAAACGCTTTTGGAATTACATCCAGCATGCAAATCACTGTTAAGATTTACATATTATCTCTATCCTTAGAATAAATCATTTTATGTCATTTGATGTTTTATTTAAATAATCCTCATCAAAACTAGATTAATCACTACCTACCTACCTAGAAAAAAATGTTCCGGCTAGATGGGCCCCAAAAAGGTAAGTATTCATTGAATATAAAATTATGATACTTTATATCTTAATTTCTACATATTACTACTTATTAAGAATTAAAAACTGTGGCTGCCAATCGATGTAGTTATTTTTTCATAAAAAGCTTTGTTCAAAAGATTTCGAAAGCTCGATTGTGAGAGAAGCAAGTTCGTGTTTTTGGTGCAGATTTCATGTGGTGGATTAGAAAGCTCTTGTTGCATAGATATTTCTGGTTTAGGGTGATTATCCCGGGATGGAGGCAGCTAGTAATGTTTGCGGCTAGAGGTAAAAATATTTTTAGATGGCTTAACAGGTGTTATCTGGATGAAGGCCAGACGGCGGGGCATGAAGCCAAGGAGTCAAGGGAAAGGGAAAAGGCAGCGATTCGACGTCTATTCATTTTACATTTCAGAGTAAATGTAGCTGAGAAATTGGTAAAGAACGGTTCATCTTTAGGGCCAGTGGGCCATTGTTCAGTTTTGCCGATTAACGATTAATGTATTGGGAGACACGGCGCTTTGTCACGGCTTTTCTGCGTCAGTGAATGAACTGCTATTAAATATGGCGTTCAGAAAGGCGGGAAGTGTCATCTTGATATACACCGCATTATGCACGCTCCACGGATATTCTTATCTCGTCCGAATCCTCCGAAATTTTCCCTTTTAATTTTCCTACTCATCCCATCGCCACTGAACGCCCCTTTGCAATTGTCCAAGTGCACTTGTTCTCGCTTTAATTATATATCTCCGCAATTTAATCAAAAAAGTAAAATCGGTCAAGCGCGAGAGCGACCAACGCCCCGAAGACTCCGTACCGCGAATCTTTCTCCCAATCGCCGGAATATTAAAAATTTCCCAACGACATACGAGCATACGTAATCCTAAAATGTAGCATCGTGCTATAGATGGCGTTCACTGCGCCATTCGTAGCATTTTCTAAAACGTACTGTTAAGACAGCAGGTAAAAGTTGGTCTGTGTTCTGTCGGGCTGCCTGCGACGCGCTGATGAAATCCAAAGAGATCGAAATCGCGATCCGCGTCTGGCAATTTCGACAGAATACAGACCACTTCGAATTATTTTATTTAACATATCTATATTTTAAAATTATGATTCAGCTTTGATTTTCCTGCCATAATAGTCTCTATATTGTTTTTTTTTTTTGGGATTTTTATACGTAGATACATGTAGATTTTCTTCCTTTCAACAATTTAGTGATAAATGTCAGTCCCACATAAGAAGATAGAAGACGTGATTTAAAATGGTCTCTCTTTTTGCAAAAAATTTCAATTTCGACATCTGCGGTAAACACCCAGTCGCTTAGCAAATTATGAAAAGAAGAAGGTATCTAACAATTTCGCGAACGAACTTCTGTATTCCATAAGATACTCGTAGTTAATAATGCATGAATTTAATATGCGTTTCTTTTACGTCCCTCTTATTATTAGTTTCACTCGTTTCAGAAATAAAAAGTTTTTGACAAGGAAATTATGAAGAGTTTTAACCAGGGCAAATAAGAATTATTTTTATTAGAAGGATGGAAAATACTGTACAAAGAAAGAAATTTTAGAGGATAATCAATTTGGGTTATTGGAACAGTGTTATTAGACACACTTACAGGGACAAAACATTAACGTGGTTAGATTTGAGGGTAATATTTAAATATTAGCATCTACCAAGAAGGGATTAAAATTACTTTTAAATAACAATAGGCATAAAGCAAAAATATTGACATGTAAGGGATGTAAAAGAAGCAATATAAAAAGATATCAGATAACTCATTGTCAAGATGGAAAAAACACTAGAAATATATAATAAAGAAGAGCGCAGGTTCGGGTCGATTTTAATTAGTACTTAGCTAACAGTTAACCGGAATGTGTTACCACACTTTTAAACATAACCGACCACACTTGACACGTTGAATTAGAATATCAGACGTATCCATTAACAATACGCATACAATTGGTATAAATACGTAATTACTATGTGTAGAACTGTCCGAACTCAATTTTGTTCTGTCCATTTTAATGATAGAATTAAAAGTTAATCGTAGTTATTTCGATAAATAACAATTTTATTGAATTGTATTTATTCGCAACTCTAATTCGTACCAAAACTACGCTGGCCATGACGGTTATTATATCAAATGTGCTCAAATAATTGGATTACATAATCTGTTAAAGGCACAAAGAAATAATACAGACTTACAGGTCATCTGCCGGCAGTTCCTTTAATATACATGGTGAATATATTTATCTAACATTTATTTACGTAGAATTTAACCAAGATTTCTAGAAGCTATATTTCATTTTATGCTTTTCAGTGATACATATGATGTCGAAAATATAAAAGATTTTATATTTGTTTTAGTTAGTTTTGACAAGTATCTACCCTAATTCCATTAAATAAAAGAAATACCTAAACGAATGAACATCTTTTGAATATGGTGGTGTCGTAACGATGTAAAATCGAAAAGAAAATATAAGAAAGCATCTCTAGAGCGTTTAAAACAAACGAATAAAATAAATGTTCAATTCCGAGATTGTTCCGAGTTACAGCTGAAATTCGGCACTTAATAATTTCGTTTTGAGGGGAACCTGATGATGAGATCAATTTCCATCTTTATTAGATTTTATTAATAAAATGCTAATACCGACAACTGGTGCCTGTTAAAAATTCTGGAAAGATTTTCAGTTTCAAGAAGTAATCAAAGTTTTTTGAGAACTTCTGCGGTCTTTATCAATTATTCTCTATTATTTTATGTAATACGTTAACATTTAAATTGTTGCATCCTAATTTAATTCCAAGCCGTTTGCATCGCATATCTACTGATGCGAAAAAGTAATTTCGTTACAAAATCCTATGAGATGATTAGTTTTGATTCTAATTATTTCCCATGAATGCAAAATCTTTCTCAGGGGATTCTGAAGACCGTATGAATTCGATTGATCTTGTTAGCATAAAATTTCTTTGGTACATCGGGTGAATTCAAAAGACTTCATATACTAAAATTATACTTCAATCCCCAACGTTCTCTAAACTATTTCATAAGGTTTCTAATTAAATGAACCGTAGATATAATATGCAGCACTGACTTTCATTTCTCTTTTAAAAACGGCATCAAATAGCCGTGACCAAATTAATTTTACTTTTTGATACTTATTTTTAACTTCATTTGAAGCGAATGAATTCTAAAAATATACCTGCATGAATGTATTAATGTACTGTTTGATAGAAAGTTGTTAAATAAAAATTTAAAGGAAACAATAAAACTCAACAGGGTACATGATAGATACAATTTTTTCTGGTTTGTATCATCGACAATCTTGTCGTTTTATTGGCTAATAATTATTTATGGTACAAACAAAGATCTGAAAATCGATGACATGGACATTAAATTGTATTGATATCTTAACTTAACTATTCCCTGTAACGTGTTGGGATCAAAACCAATTGTTAAGGGTATCAGGTCGTTTAGGGTTGTTTTGTGGGAAATATCCGCTATAAAGACAAGGGTATATACAACGATTACGCGTTTCGTAAAGGAGACTATTAAGATTACGTCTTTCCATTCGGTTTCAATTCAAAGGAGCAACTTTTGTTATAAGTCACGATAAGGGAGAAGACGACCCTTACTATACCTTACTATACCGATGTTTCACACTAAACTTACAATGATTTTTTCCAAATTTTGTTTGGGAATAAAATTGTACATTGTTACAGTGTTGATTATAATTTCCATTAAAAGACTACAATTAGTAAATAATCACCTTCCCAATTCCCAAAAATTTCATGATTAATAATCATCTACAAGTTATTATTACACTTTAGATATCTGCCGTATAGAAAACTATAATTATATTACTTGTTTGCGTACAGAAAATTCGTTTTCATCTTCTAACAATTGAATTCCGTAAAAATCCTTATTGAGAAACATGCATCTAATCATATGTTACACGAGGAGACAACTGTAGACAAGTCTTTCATATTTCCAGCTTCAATACGTACGATAAGGCGTTAGTGAATCAGTCAAGATCTGTCTCTAGACATGACGACACACATTCATCTATCTAATACACATATCTAGAGTGAGAATAAACGGAATATTTCTACCATTCAAAAAATTTATATATGGAACCAACAAGCGTCATGTTGAATGCATTAGATTAGATAAGAAAATAATAAAATAGCTGCTTGTATTATGTTATTAAAAGTATGCCAAACAAAGAGTTAGATTAGAATTGAATGCGTAGAGTGTAGACTGTGGGGTGCGAGGGCTTCGTTTCGCGGGCGACACCAGCGAGCTTTGTAAAGTATCAGCCGAGTGGTAGTGGAATTTAGTTGGAGAATACAAACTTGGGAATTAACGAAAGAAAAATTGTAACTTGTATACGAAAGGAACCCGATCGTAGTGTCGCCATGCCTGCTTAGTATGCAACGCGCTCAACTGCTGCATTCTTGTGAAATACACATCGACCGGGGTTTACTTCCAAGATCGTAAACAAAATTAGCGTTATTTGTTCTAATAAAACCGATTGCCTTTAACCATCTCCCTTTGTTGAAAACTAGCAGATTTAACTTAATCTCAAGGCCCCGAACTTGCTCTGCTTTCAACTTGGTAATAACATCGTATACCCTTCCATTATAAAAACTGCATTATCATTAGGGGAACTAACCACGTTCCAATAACACTATTTCCTGATCTACTCTCAATTCGATCCAATTCTGCAAACTACTACTTCACAAAGAATAACAGATTGTTCGCTAAAAGAACTCCAAATAATGCGAAGACTAAACTTTAAAACAAAGACAACTAAATTAACGAAATATCAGATTGGATCTATGAAAAATAAAACTTAATTTTGAACTAGAAACAATGGATCACATTGTTTATTTCTTATTTGTATATACGATAAAAAATCACTATAAATAAAACCAAAGATAGGATGGAAATGTAGTTGTGGATTCTGTGTGTTGTTTATTTCTCCTTAAAATCCTCTCTGCAATATTAAACTTTCTATTTTCCTCATATTAGTTTCATCGTTTTCTAATATTTACCGTCGCGTCTATATTATTGACCTATGTACATCAGTAGTTGATGGTTTTCCGCTGTAAATTTTACTTAGATGTTTGGCTTTGTTGTTGATTTTCCTCCACTATATTATTTCAGCCAATATCCTGGAAAATGGACCTCCCATTGGCAAACCTGTGTTTTGTTTGTACGTGTGGTTTTGTTCAATTTAAACTTAATAATTCACGTAACACCCATAGTAATTATAAAAACAGTATGAATAAGACAATATATTGGGAAATGTACCTTTCCTAGAAACTATGATGAACAGGGTACAAGCGAAAGCTTTTTAGGAATATATATATATAGGTAAATGTCTACCTCAGTGAGATTACAATTTATTTATCATTATCATCAGTATTTCTTTCAATGTTTAGTTGATATCTTGCAATCAATAATTCTATTATCCAAGATATAGAAATTGTTATCAAAACTAAACTTTGTATATGAATACACAACCTGTAACTTTGAAAATAATCCCGTGCAAATCCTACAAAGAAAATAACCGTAAGAGCAAAAACAGATCAATCGACAACTAAATTTACCAAATACTTCTCCTAGCAATAAAACGGATATTCCTTTAAAAAGCATCGATAATCCAATAGCTGAAGGTAGTCGACTTTGGTCACCCAAATGCTCCACCAAAATGAGATTCTGATTCAAAACCGTTGCAGCCCTCAAGTATCCACTCAACATTATCACCCCAATAATAATTTTATAATTACTTTGTTCTATAAAAGCTAAAATAAAAGAAAATCTTACAGCACTTATTTTTTTTTTTTTTACTTTTTGTGCTTTTTACCTGATCTTGTGAAAGCAATTAAAATCATTCCCAATAAAAATGAAACTCTTATTTGTACACCTTTTGCGAGTAAAGGAATCGTTATCCTTCCAACAATATCAGCTGCAGATTGAAGGGACATACACAGCGCTACATCGCTTATTAGGAGACCCTTATCGTTCATTAGAGTAAAAGGTAGAAGCATACCAAAAGTCAAGTTGCAAGTATTGGTCACCGATGTACCGAATATAATATGAACAAATTTTAGATCCTTAAGAAGGGTTAAGTCGAAATGATTAACAAACTTTCTCCATTTCGAAATTTCTTGAGCTTAAAACAATTAAATAAAAAAATGCATATGTGCTAATAATTAATGAACTATTAACCTCCCAAATTTGTCTGATCAGATCTTTGGGATTCTTCTTCTGAACTACAATCATATTTGGAGTATTTTACAGTTGAATTCCTGCCCAAAAGTAGTAGACTTCCTTCACTTTTGTCGCAGTCTTCTTTCAAATGCCATGCAACCGGCTAAATTAATATTTAATAATTATGTCCAGTGTTGTGCTACAGGAACTTACGTGAAAAAACAAAGTTCCAGGTAAAGCGTTTAAACAAACGGCTCCTAAAATTAAAACAGTTCCTTTGTACCCAAATTCCCTTAACAAATGCTCGACCAGAAGAGGCATTAAAAGCTGACCAATGCTCGTCCCTACCAAGGACCATCCAATTGCATAAGATTTCTTTTTGTCAAAATAGTCAGTTATAGTAACAAATATTGTAGGAACCAAAATGCCGCGACCAACCCCTAAAACATTCCTTTTTTTAGGTACGTATTAGAAGAAAATTTCCTTCTGTGTGTAGCATATGTGCTGTAACAACAGAAAATAAATAATATATCATTACGTCGTCTTTCAAAGCTTTATGAACCTTGACTTTACTTATATCAGTGGATTTTATAACGCCTCCTCTGAAGATGCCTTGACGGTATCGTATGAAATTTTAAGCAAATTCAAAGCGCTTTGACTGACTATGAATACCAGGCTTCCTAATTTCACTAATGAATTGTATAAATTAACAACAAGTTGCTATATAGTGCTAATGGATAACAGCATCCCTTATTTTCGTTAATTTCTTCATTAAAACGGCGCATTCAGTTACAACTTCGTTTTCTGCTGTTTGATTTTCAAAGGAACGCTGCAAAGCCCATTATACACCTCTCACATCAAAATGAGCAACAACTTGAGAAGCAAAAGTGACTCAAATTTGATCAAATCCTGCGTGAATTAATCATATTCACTTTCATCGTCCTTATTTATAAATGCGTGCCCTTAATAACCTAAAGCCAGCTCTCATAAGTGAAACGTCTGGCTCAATTCGCATTAAGATAAAAACTGAACGAAATCATCACATTAAATATAATAAATTTTACGAACCTACCAGAAAACCATAACTGAATAGAAGCAAAAATATATTACTGGCCATACTGCTGACTATCATCCCCGCTGAAGAAAATAAAACCCCCAAAACAGCAATGCCTCTCTTAGGATAAATTTTTAAAAAAGGTCCTATTATAAGTCCTGATATATTTAAAAGCATGGTGTTCACATTCATTACAAAACCGACTCCAACGGTTCGGTAGCCCATTTCTTCCATATTTTGCCCATAAATTAGACCGTACTGACTGGAAAGGGACAAATTGGCCATCTGGTTTCAAAACACAAACATAATTGAAAAACAAACACCTGCTTTAAACAAAACCAAACACATACAAGTACTTACGTTAACAATAGCACCACCGATAACGACCCACCAGCCCCATCCCCCATCTGGAGGCAACATTTTTTGTTTTACACTGCTCATGACTACTTTACTTTTTGATTAATAAAGCAATGCACAAATTACTTTATAATGCACTTATTTTGTTTTCTTATCATGTCGAATACCTGATAGTGTAAATACCAACTGATCACTATCAAATGCTTTTACACATGAACCAACGCTTATCTAGGTATCAATACTTGTTTCAATTAATTGTTAATTGGTAATCATAAATAATAATGTTCCAGCGTCTAAATTTGGATGGGCTCAGATAGTTTATTAACACATTCCATTATTTTTAATAAGAGCGTTTCACAATTGCTACAAAGTTCGAATTATTAAGATGAAATTTTAACTTAATAAGTACCTAGTATAATCAAACATAATAAAAACTCGATAAAGTTTATTTACAAGAGGAGCTATTGTTCCACGAGAGCTAAAATATTATTTTTGAAACTGTATGCGTCAACCCCTGAATAACCTGTTATTAATGACGTGTCAATTAAATGTACCCATAACATTGTTTCTGCATTATTTCGTACTAGCAAACTTAAACCATGATTTATTATAACTTTAGCTAACTTTTTGTACAGAGAGAAAAGTAATCATCGCTTTCGGCGTAATTTTTGCGTGTCTTCGACAAAAACTTGCGCCCAACTTTTGTCAAAGGATTTACTAGTCTGGGCGAAACTAACGACAACTTACAGGATAATTTAAGGACGTATTACTTTATACTTTCCAAGTTCTACATTTATCTATTCAAGTTACACCAACATAAGGATTTAAATAATTTATTTAAGAAATAAACTGATAAAAAGTTGAAATCAACAGTCTATTATCTGTTACAATGTGACAGTTGCGAAATAGGTTTACATCGGATAAAATTCCAAATACCCTGTAATTTTACTATTTTTGAAGACCAATAAGCTATTGCTGAAAGTATACACATCGATGTTGTACAGTATGTGAAATTGATAAACATTTAGTATCTGGCAAACTACAAAAACAATTGATATAAATGAATAAGCTTCGTAATATAGAAAATCATATTTTTAATTAATCACATTCAATTTCTTTCTGATAAATTGGATGATTTCTATGCCGCAGAAAAGTAACGCATTTTTTGAGGCAGACGGTAAACAACTAAAGTTGTTTTTATATATTTCCAACTTCTAGCACCATCTCTATGTACTTCCACAACTCATTGTCCTAGATAACGGACTATTTCAGATTTATCAGCTTTTCACTAGAACTTCTAGCACCATCTACTGACTAAATGCCATATACAGTGGGGAAAAGCTCTTCAAACTCATATTGATTTTTCACTTTTCGCAAAGCAGGCAACTTTCCCGTGAAGCTCACATTAAAATAATTTTCCGAAATAGTTTCTACATCAAGAAAAGTTCAAATTATCCAATTTTCGCCTCCTAACCAGAAGAGGTCCGCAGCGCACGGAAAATCGGAAAATTCTGCGAACATTTCCTTAATGATACTGACTTTGTGTTCAACTTTTTTACAGCTTCCGAAAGGTGATCACTTCCGATACATACGTAAGTATATTTCAACGAAATTGCATTTTATTAAGAGAAAATCTGGTTTCAAATAAAAAGTTTTGTATCTACTATCGACAATACATCAGAACAATAAAATATTTTGTAAATAATTTAAAAAGAAGTTTTAATGAAATTACTAAGTAATTATTTTGAGTATTACATACAAAGAAATACTGTTTATTAAACGCACTATAACTACAGTATGGTTGTTTATTGACTCCCCATATTAAAAACTAACACAATTTATCGTTATTTACGATTTGAAAGCCTATAAAATAATCGTGCACATTTTATGTCCTTTCAGGATAATGTTCTCATAAAATCGGTTTTTCCCAGAAATATCAGAAAAACTTGATGAGGGCGTTTTCCATTCACTAAAGTGCAACTTTAAAATATACCTCGATATTTAATGCGAATTTTTAACAATTGTTAATTTAATCATGTGGGTATTATTATTTAACATAATTTGGTGTAAAGAAATCCTAAAAATACAGACCAACTCNCAAGGATTTTTAAAAATATTTTTAAATTTTAATAATAATTAAATTTATTTTGATAAGCAAACACATTTAAGAAGAATTTTCGAAGTTGTTATTTGATTGTAGTACTACCAAAATATTTTTTTTAAAATTTATATTATCCTACGAAGAAATTAAATATCAACAGGTCCTTGGAAGAGTTAGTGTATGTTAAGGTCCAAGTCCTGCGTGCGCTACAGCAAAAGAGAAATACCGTCTCCTATCTATCCAGGTGGCGCAATCATGCGTTCCTGTATCCCACGAAGCCGACTTAACCAGCAGCTTTCATAGCTTCTGTTTTCTACTTCAGTTTTGCGCCGGTTGCTGCCCGCATAGCCTGGTGCACAAGTGGTCTGTCACCCCAAAGCGCGCGTCAATCGTAAACTTCTACAACCGAAGTCAGCATCAAGTAAAACCATCAATTCTCAATCGCAATCAAGATGAGTGGATTCTCGTTAGTTTTACGATGATGGCCAATCAATTACTAGCAATAATTATCATTTTTCAATTAGTTTTCGACCATTTTATTTGCGAAGGTAACAATCAAGTGCTACAGCAAAACATTCGACATGGACGTTCCAGAACAAACTTCTTACGTGGTACGCACCACGAAGATAATTTGTTGGAAGAGAAAACCAAAACTCCCTACGATACCTACGATTCTGGTTCTCAGAATTTTATAAATATTACTGACCAACTCAAAGCTTATGAACTGACCGAATTTCTAACTGATCATGAGCCGATCCTGCAAAAAATTTTTGAAGACAAGATTAGTAGAAACATTTCCGACCCCGATAATGTCTATTCGAACCGTAACGACTCGGAAGAATGGGATGACAAATCCTCATTCCTGGACAGTTCACTAGAAGAAGTATCGTCGGTAGTTCCTACAGTAAAAAATGAACATGTCGATATAGTAACCAGATTCTTGAGAATAGTAGAATCTCAACACTTGTTAGGTGAAAATTGTTCGGCTGGAACCGATTTAAATTTAGGTGAGGGGGTTGTCGATAGATATGCTCAAGAAAGATTTCGCGTTGAAGCCGAAGTTGCTGTAAATCGAGCCAACATGCTTACACGGTTATGGAAATACGCGGATCCTGAAGTTGTTACATCTGAATACTTCTTGCACGTATCCTTATTTTCAATGATAGAATTTGACGACGACATCTTCGCTGCTGGAAATTGTTATGACCGTTACCAATACAGAGATTATTGGCTATTTTGTCCCTACGCATACAGATTACCGGAGGGTCCTATTCTAGCGAAGGATTTAGCTGTCGAATATAAATATTTAAGCAATACTTCTGAATGGTTTTACATTGCCCGAAAAAATGCCGAAAATGTCATCAGAAACTACAACCAATTCAAAAGAGGTAAGATTACCATTTTTCTGTTCAAGGATACCTATTGTATTGTCCTTTTGTTTAGAAACTGTTTACATGTCCGACTCGCTTACGAAAAAAGGGTAATAACAATTTATCAATTTCGGTTTTGTTATTATAAAACTTTCTTTCCAACGAAGAAAAGTCAATCTAACGTCCTTCTGAGATTGAGTATACTCTTTCAATGCGGTGGCAAAGTTGACCAATACTGAAAACATTTTCTTTAATTTGAGTTGAAATATCACATTCATATTGAAATAATCTCAATATTTCTCAAAAAAAAAATTTAAAAGGTACATTTGTTAAGCATTAATTCACATTGTATTACAAGCTTAGGAGATTTAATCCTGAGCTTTTATGTAAAAGGGGACGCATACGTTTATTATTTTAAGAAATAAATAAAATATTATAAACTATAGGAAATCGACTTCTCCATCATCAAGATGTGTCAAGAATTAGATCTTTGTCGCACCCCGATATCGAAAAACGCGACACCCCCTTTTATTCATTTCTACAATAACTTTGCTTTAAAGCGATGTTTTGTCTTTTAACGTACCTAGAAGTCCTGTTTGATAGTGACAGGATTCCACTATTTGAAAATGTAATATTTCGGAAACGGGAGTCCGAAATAAAAACTGACAAATAAAGGACTTGCTAAAGATACTACACTTGCGCTCAGGCATGCTAAAAAGAATTTCATTCCCATTTCAGAGAACACAACAAAAGAAATATTTTTACTACCATTTGAAGTACGGTCTCTGTCTAAACATTTTCAGAAATTTTATTCATGCGTCTAAGTCTAAAAGTATAATGTGCATTCTCCACAATCTATAGTCTCAAACAATATTCATAATAGCCTACTTATACTGCAAGGAGGAAAAAATCAATTATAATATAGCCCACCGGCAGTGCCCCTAAGAAATAATTTTAAGATTACGATTCAAGTCATACTTCTACTAAATTTAAAAAGTACTACCTATTCAAACCACCATCTATGAAAGTGTGAACCTAAACGGTCGAAAGGTTTTTTACGTCTACAAAACCACAGAATATTATGGATTATTTCACAAACTTCGACAGATAACAGAAAATTCAATTAATGTGGAAACGTGCGCGCAAGTACGTCTACATTCCTATAGGCCTCAAACAAAGGAAAACAATTATTAAATATTTCATTTGGAAACTTTCCGAGTTTTCTTATAAATAAGTAAAAATCAATGTTTAAAAACTATAATTAACGTTTCACTCACAATAAAAATAGCAATGGGTTTTAAACTGAAAAAAGGGAATGCCTGAAATGTTTCTGAAAATTTTTTTTAACGACGCCAACGTGAAAAAGAACGAAATTTCACGCTGTTAATAAAACAGATTAATAAAACACTGGATGTCAGTCATGGAATGCTACCGAAAAACATCAAAAGAAAAATTAATTGATAAATACTGAAAGACAGATAACATGAGAGTAACAAAGCCTACATTTCAAATCATTTTGAAAGGTAATAACAGTTCAAAATGTATAATTGCAGTTTTGAATGTTTTACTGTCTGATAAAACTATTGAGAATAATTACTGTAAAATTATTTATTGAAAGATTCGTTTACGTCATTCACATAATCAGCAAGAAGCAATCCAGCAAGTAATGGCAACACACAATCATTGAATAATAATACGCCCGAAGACAATAATATAATAATCGTTTTAAATGAATTTGCGTCTTATTTTCCTAATGTAATCTGGGACAGTAATAAGAGAGATAAAATACGTGCCGCACGTCGTTCAACAATTTCTCCACACGCAATTTCTTAATAATCAATAACGGCAGCATCTGAATCTTATTTCAGGATTCAATTGAAGAATGTTTATTTAGGAAATTTGGAAATTGTTTTAGCAGATGTAAGTAAAAAAACAGTTACCCATATTGTAACAGAATTAAATTATCATTTTTGATATAAACAGATGTGAACTTCCAATTAACTTATCGACGTATTGAAGTGAGCTATGCAATCTTTTTATGTGTACAGTAAAAATTTAATTAAACGACCAAGTGCGAGACAGCGACCAACTAAAGAATAGTAATTTGATCTTAAACACTCGGGAATATGCTGCCGTGATGACGAAAACATAATACTTAGACTTCCGAACTGCTCAAACTACCGCAATAGGTGCATTTTAAACTATTAAAAGTTTAGTCAACTCTTAGTTTTAATATCAAAGTTTTGTGATAAAGCGCGCTTAATTTAAAGCTTCTTCTTTACAACAATATTATTATATATACACATGGGATAAGGCGATATTAATACGTAATTACTAATTGTCAGGTTTTACGTTGTTTTCATGAAGGCAATTTCGGTCATCGATCTATATCTGATAAAACTAAGGCTGGTCAATTAATCAATTCACTTAAGGCGATAACAAAAACCGAACACTCAAAGAACTTGGAAGTTCGTTTATCACCGGCTGATGGAATAGTCCATAGAAATAGAGATAAGGCGAGAGAATTTTACACCATTTGCCAAAGGAAAACACAACAAAGTAAACACCGAATTGATCGGTCATTTTAACTACAAAGAAAAGAATGTTGTTTTTCCGAAATTTTCAGCTTCTGAATACTTTTAGAAATGAGCCCCACTCTCCCGAAATAATGTACAAACAATAGACCTTACTGTTTTATGAATTTTACATAATCCTACAAGAACTCTCCCGATGGATTCATCATTATTATTAATTCATAAATTCGGCTGCTTTCGCTTCTAACTTGGGGATTAATAACATTTTCTTCCAACCAAACTTAAATTTTATTAAATTTCTGGTCGATAAAGGCTGGTGTACTTGTAACCGAAAAGGGGGATTATAAAGAGAAATCGTTTTGTTAGAAAATAGCTTCGGCACGTCATAATTTTGCTGTTAATTAGTTTTAATATTCGCAGACTTGTTTTAGAAAGGGAAGGGTCGAAAGTGTACGTGGTGCTAGTAGTAGTATCGTTCGGAGTTCGGAGTACTACTCAGGCCATTTGAGGCCGTGGACTAAATTAGCTGTCTTCCTTTAATTAAAAAATTACCATCCTCTATTAAAGCAACGTTTATGAATTAATGTAAAGGCAGACATTCATTTCATTTTGACTGTATTTCGTTTATTCGTTTTAATTCTATTTAAACTATTAAGCCGGACTTGTTGCTGTGGAATTAACGACCAAAAGAACAAGGTAACAAACTAACCAATTTGAGGGGTTTCCTGTCAATCTACATAAATACAAAGACAACAATATCCGCTGCGTTACGTTACACTTAAATTCGTCAAATTCTTTTAATTCAAGTACGTCCGAAACGTGACAAATTCATCTGAGATTACTCTTTAATTGCTTGTTATTGACACAAATCGTCACAGTCGATTTGGTTCAACTAAATTAAGCCAAACTGATAAAAACTCTTACTCAAATTAAAAAAGAACAGAGACAAGTTTGTGATTTCCCTTTCAATCCATTTAAACTTTTCAACTGTTTCAAGTGTTTTGCGAAACTTTTAATTTTGCGTAGGTTAGAGCCTACATAATATGATCACAGAACTTTAATAAAGATTAATGAAGTTTTACTAAACCTTACGTTTCTAAATCCTCTTAAAATTGCTTTAAATAAAATGGAAGCGGTATTGACAAAACAGTATTGTATGAAAATAAATAAAATTAACGCAAGGAATAGTAGGGATATAACGCAGGGTCGAGTCACCTTCAACAAAAGGAAGTCACTTCTGTGCTCGCAAATGGTTAATTTAGAAATTCGAAAAAGATTGTTAAAGGTGTATGTTTGGAGCGCGGCGCTGTACGAGTGCGAAACATGGACGGTGGTGGCGGCGGAAAAGAAAAGGTTAGAAGCATTCAAAATGTGGTGTTACACCCGAATGATGAGGATACCGTGGATAGAGAAGGTTAGAAATAAAAAGATATTATAAAGAATAGGAGAACAAAGGAACTTATTAGACCTCCTCAGCACATCATAATCAACCAAAAAATTATGTGTATCAGTACATTGCCACAAAAGCTCTTCCAGCTGATTTATCGTGACCAAGTCCGTTTCTGTTTTTATTTCAATGGTAAAATAAACGAACACCGATTAAAATTTTAGTTCAGACTTTGTCTGTTTTTTTTTGCATGCATAACGACTAAATCGTAAAAAAACTTTTAAAGTTGGCTCCTTCTTCGTTCACTTTAAGTGTAATTGCAAACTTAATTTTAGGAAGTAACGTAAAGAGCGTGCTTGAACTTTTTTTTGTTTCCAACTGACTTCCGAGACATAATGGCGCCGAATGATACTTTATGCAAAAGTAACATTATTTTCCTCTGCAATTTTCCAGTTGACTATAAATTGAAATTTCAAATTACTTCTTATTAAAACCTCAACACGTGTTGCTAAAACAGCCACAAGAATTGAAGAGCATCTAATCTACTTCTTTCATTTCGATGGTGCTTCCTGTAACTGTTTTTGAATACCATTATTTCGAATTTAACCGAATTGGAAGAGTTAATATTCAAAAACGGAACAAGAATACAAGAAATAATTACATTTACGAGACTGATACAAAAGTTGTTGTTGTTGTAAATAGTAAAAGCGCCAAAGTTTTATTGGACGAAGTCGCCTGGAAGTGTAGCAATTAAATTGTTAAGTAAAATAACGCCCACAATCAATACCTTAGACGCGGGATGAAAAAGGAAAACGATAAATTGTTTCGACTGCCACCTCTAAATTCATAAAAACAACACAAAACTGCTGTTAGGTAAATTGAAATTCGTTGATTTAATCAAGCAGAAACTTAAATGAAATTAGTTCCGTTCGCTCTAGCTCAACAAATAATAAACTGACAGGAAGCAACTTGAAACGTTGTCGCATAAATGCTTAATATTATGCAAATAGGTACGTCAATTATTTTTCAGGTTTGAAAAGGTTAAAGCTGTCATCGCCGTCGGTATTTGAAGAGAGTTCGGCGGCCGTGTTCCAGGA